TATATTAAATATAAATTAATATTAATATATAATATATTAAGTAATATATCTATATATATAAATATATTAATATATAATATTATTAATATAATATAATAAATATATGTAAATATATATATTATAACTATATAATTATATTATAATTTTATATAATATATATATAATCATCATATATACTTTTCTTATCATAACTCTTATACTTACTCATACCATATAATCTATACTATATCCTACTTACCTATATATCTATAGTGTATAATATACCATATCTAATATACTATATCTATCTACACTATACTTACACAATAACACACTGCAGGTCGTAAATAGATTGGTTGACTGTAACTAAACATCTTTATTACGATGTAAAAAATACAGTTGTTCTGAGTGTGTAAAGCTGACATTTTTTCTTTGTTTTTTAAGCAACACATTATAGTCCAAACTGAAAAATAAGGATTTAAGAAATTTATAGAGAAAAAACAAATGTGTATAAATTTTTAATATCACTCCCTCTTCCTCTTGCCTGTGCTCCGGGACCCGAGGACCCGCGAACAGACGGCTCCCACGAGGCGGCGGAGCACGTACACCGCCACGACCACGGCCACGTGGAGCGCCAGCAGCACGTCCAGCATGAGGAACTCGACCCACGACAGCGTCGCCGCCGGAGACCGCAGCCGGGGGGCGCCCTTGTGCCGGATCACGTACTCGGTCCAGAACACCGCGCGATCCTTCGGGCTCTGAGGTTGGTCGCGGAGGGGAGCCCGCACCTCTGCGGCCCTGGCTTTGTACCTGCGGTTGAGGGCTCGCTGTCAGTGAGGCTCTGAGGCCTCAAGGAATGTGCAGAAAGCATGTCTATGTGTGAGAGTCAGATAATTCAGTATTAATGAATAAAAAGCTTCAAAAGTCCTGTACATTCAAGATAAAAACCCTTACTTGGGATTCGAGATAATTTCCTGGAGACTGTTGACGATGAGCTCGACCGTCAACTCCTCCCACACAAGCATCAGCCCGAGGCCGTTGTTCTGTATGTTCATGCCATTCTTGGGCTGATCCCCAAAGATGGGGATTGCGAGGACTGGCGTGGAGTGGTAGAAGGACTCCTGAGTGCTGAGGAGTCCTCCATGGGTGATGAAGACCCGGACGTTTGGATGAGCTGAAACACCAATGGTAAAACGCATGAGCAATCCTCTTCTAGGGTTCTGCAATGTGATTAGTTATCTATACATCAACCATCACTTTGTTTCCTTTTAGAGTTTATAACAAATTTCATTTCGGTTACATTGTTTTCTCTGTCCTTTTATTATGATCATGAAGATTATCATTATCAGTAATACTAATAGTGTCATTGTCACTGGTTATCTGAAGTGCAAAAAAGTTTTGCACTTCTGAACCAGCCAAGGTCAACTCACCGAGAATATCCTGCTGCGGCAGCCACTTCCGCATTAGCACGTTGTCAGAGACGCCCTCCAGCGCCACCTCGTACTTCCAGATGACTCGCTGTTTGAGCTGCTTGAAGGCCTCCACGAACATATCTCGGTACTTCGTGGGCATCGACTGACCCTGAGCCACGGAGCCAAGACTGAAGTACACGACGCCCTCTGATCCTGCGCCGCTGATCCATAACTCTAAATCCTGTAGGATACGTGTCTACTGACAAACGACCACTTACAAATCCAAATAAATCCAGATGAGCATCAGCTACCATCGATATTCCATTTCATTTCTGTGCTCATCGATAATATCATGTTGTGGTTCTCCATCTGGCATAGAACTTAGGATTCCCTTCAGAAAGACGAATCTCACCTTAGGGAGGGGCTTGCCAGGACGGCAGTGCATGGCCCCCACTTCCACCTGGGACGGCAGCAGAGGCAGAACATCGTTCATTGTGAAGTGGGAGTTCATCAAGGTAAGGCTCTGGTTGCGCTCAATGTCCAGCAATGACGGGAGGTCCGGGAACTGGGCCGAGATCTGGAGAGATGACATTTTTTTTCAACAATTTTTTTCACAAAAGTATATTTTCTTGAAACTTTGAAAGTAATCATATGAGTACCAAAGCACTATAATAGAGTGAAAATGGAGGTGAGACATACCAAATAGATTCTGGTCTTTTAAGATATATTTACCGTTGATGAATATTAGAGGGACTTTTAATATAACGACTTTTCAAGAATCATTCAGCATATACCGCTGACACATGTTGTAACATCACAAACGACGTAATATAATGTCTACAACTTAAACAAAAAGTGACATGACCCCTTCTCCTTTTCTGTCAGAATACCCACTTCCTTCTGAACAGGCGGAAGGATGCTCCAGTGACGCCAATATACGGCGAGCATGACGGGTGCTACGGTATTGAGGAATCGACGCAACACGGTCATAGGAAGAGGGTAAGCTTTCATCGAGTGGGGTACGTAGGCAGGGTTCAAGACGTTGCCGAGGACAGCGCTCTGGCGGTAGTCCACACCTGGCGTTGCTATGGTGATGAAGGGCATCTCGTGGGCGAACGGGTACGCGACCTGTGTCAAGGGTTAAAAGGTGGTTTTCTATTATTTCCATCAGTCGGTGGAATGTCGACGGCGTGGCATTGCATATGAATTTCTGTAATGATGTTCGGATATACTTTAATGCAAAATTTTGCGGTGTGCAGAGTCACTAAATACCGTAACAGGTTTGGACTGGGTCATTAGTCATTTATAGTTGTGCACAGGATTAAGTGCATGAATGATATTTTTGGAGTGGGTCATTAGTCATTTATAGTTATGCACAGGATTAAGTGCATGAATGATATTTTTGGACTGGGTCATTAGTCATTTATAGTTATGCACAGGATTAAGTGCATGAATATGATATTTTTGGACTGGGTCATTTATATTCATGCACGGAATTAAGTGCATGAATATGATATTTCAAGTCTTCTGTTCATATCTAATCTTTTCGAATGCAGTGTTATCTAAGATAATGAAATATAAAGCTTCGAGTGGTATAGACGATAAGCCAACGATAAAACTTCTTGGTTTGCCTCTATCATTATAAGAAGTAAGTGGCAATGACATTTGAATATTTGCTATTGTTACCAATTTCTTATTCTACAGTGGCAACAATAATGATAACAGCGGATAAGTAATGTCTTAACTTAATAAAAATCAAGCCAGACTTACCTCATTAAACATATGGTTGATAACAATGAGATCAAACTCCTTTCTTTTGGCGTAGAGTTCTTTGACCTTCGGAACCTTGTACAGCTTGCTGGCGATGGCGGGAAGAGCCGTCTCGAACATCGCGAACGCACCAGCTGGGTCCCCGCGTGTCTCGAACATGTTCATGTTTTCTTCCCTGAAATCGGGCAGTCCATGGTTGATCTCCAGGACGTTTGGGTGCTTCGACGCCGGTGGGTGGTTGACCAGCATCACAATCTGGTGTAATTAATCACAAATATAAATGGCTTGAATTAAAGTGAGCCGTTCTAAACACCTCAGCACGTTGAATCTTTTGATAAACTGGTTATAGCTGATTGTGTTATATATATTGGATTTGATTTATGCCATGTTTATGTGGCTTTTCGAAGAACGTAATAATATTATAACATATACACACACACCTGGTTGTACCTAGTTGTTTGCTCCTTACCTTGTGTCCTCGATCGGCTAAAGCCTCGGCGACCGGCAAGAAGACATTCCTGTGGCTCTTCGAGGATACTGGCAACAGCATCAGGATCTTGTAGGATCTCTCGGGTGGAGCCAACTCCGCCCACGCTACGCCCATCAGCGCCAGCGTCAGGGCCAGCACCGCCGTCCTCATCTGTGTAAAAATGTTACTACAACTGTGAGTCTTCAGCTGGTTCTAAAAGAACACATTACCGAAATGAACACGAATTTCTCTTATGGTTTGATGATTAATATCTTGCTTTATTCTTCTCAGAGTATAGCTGGGCGTCGTTCTTGACTTCAGAGTGTGTGTATGTGTATGTGTCGGTGTGTTATGAGGTATTGCGGTCAAGTATCTACACAACCTGTCATCTCCAAAGTCTTGATAAGGTTTTGTACCTGATACGTTCATAGATAGTGTGTGAGTATGATTCAGGGATATATGTATGGGTGATTCTGTGTTCTATTGGGGGTTCACTGATAACGTCACCTCAACAGTATGGGATTTAAGGCTTTTCCTTGGATAAAGGTCAAGTGTCCATACCTAAAAAACAGTTAAAAGAATAGTAGTAAATATACAGTCATAAGAGGGTTATCATCCGATCTGATAATATAATAAACTGCCTGTATTTGCAGTGAATACAAAGGTCGAGCTACAACAGTGCATTCACAGGATTTTTTACAATATGCATAATCAAAGAATATACATATTTATGTATATATACCATTTAATCTTTATTTCTAAATGGTCAGGCTTATATACATATGTATATGTATGTGTGGAAATACGTATGTGACAAACATGTGAGATTATATAAACATGTAGAATATAGTAATACGATATACATGTAGCTTGGTTACATTGTGTGTGTGCGTGTGTGTGTGTGTGTGTGTGTGTGTGTGTGTGTGTGTGTGTGTGTGTGTGTGTGTGTGTGTGTGTGTGTGTGTGTGTGTGTGTGTGTGTGTGTGTGTGCTTACGTACATATAAATGTATGGATTATGTATTTATGCATGTATATAATAATATATATATATATATATATATATATGTATATATATATATATATATATATATATATATATATGTGTGTGTGTGTG